TAGAGGACGGAGGCTGAGACCACAACCACCTGCCCAACTCTGTCTGCTGTGATCTTCCTGCTGAAGTGACTGACAGCAGAGTGGGCGGGTCCTCACTGATGATGTGGAGCTTCTGAGCTGGTTGATCTGCAAAATATTTAAGGCTGCTCTTTTATCTGTGTGTTTGTGGTGAAAGGTTGGATACATCTTTTTTCTTCATATTCACACAAATCAAACAGATCATGTGAATTCCTTATTTAAATGAGTGACAGACATTGTAGTGTTTTATAGTAGTTCTGGCCAGTTTCATTAGTTTGTTTTTTTAAAGCGATTCTGTTGAATCACAATTTAAAAGCAGTGTTTGATTTTTATTTGGTGATTTAAAGTAAATTTTTATTGCTTTTGTCAATTTCAAGTTATTTCAGTGACCATTGTGAGTTTTTCTCTCTTTAACAGAAGGGTACCAACAATTTTGTCCACATGTGAATATATCCCACAGGATGCACTTTAATTTAAAGACTAGTGGTGTCAATGACCTTTTTAAAATGAATATGTTTTGTAAGCAGCCAAAGAAGGGTTCATTGTTTATCTTCTATTTGTTTAATCATTCAACTTGGTGACAATGAAATGTAACTTCCCCAGTGTGAGCAGGACGAGTGTTTAATCGGAGGGTCGTGCGTCTCTCGTCGTCTCGTTGTCAGAGGGCAACATCTCTGTTTCTCCAGCTGTTTTCTACAGTGTGTCACCCATCAGTGGCCACTGCCCCCTGGTGGAACTGCTGTCTTGGCTAGTTTTCTCTTTTATAGGTTTAACCTGTTTTGGTTTTAATCATTTGGATGAATTAAAGTCCGTGGACATATTGTTATAGTTGCCCATCAATGGGCAACTGTAGAGTAGTCGTGCCCGTGTGTTTTTGTGTGTGCACGTTGTTGTTGTTTGTTTTTTTGTCTGTTAACAGTCTAGCGCTTTACAGGAGAGGAGTTTGAACCTGAATCTTCATACATGACCTCGGTATGGCCCCTTTTCGCACTGATTAGATTTTGGGGTCAGTACATGCATTGGTGACCGCTACAGAGGTCAAAGGTCGCATTTCCCACAAACAGCTCTGTGTGACTGAAAATGCACAAAAAGACATAAGTTTAGTATACTAACTTAGGAAAACATTCGAGGCCTATAAACTGGTGATGTAACAGATGACCTTGAGACAAAAGACAAGGTCACACAGAAGGTCTTAAATCATCACAAATTTTCAATCCATTATAACTGGGAAAAGGTGTAAGATGAAGTTACTACATTCTTATTACAGTCAGATAGAATCCATATTAGTGATGTGACATTTGACCTTGGACGGAAGGTCAAGGTCAAACTCATGGTCATAAATCTTTGGTGCTTAGCCGTTAGCGTAAATTACAGCAAAACGCTTCCCCTCCATGCAAAATATCTGTGATGCATGACAGACTAAGCTCTCGTTACATTATGGATCATTTTAAGGCAAAATCAAGACAAGTTGATCGTCAAGTAGGCGCACAGTAAAACACAGAATCTAGTAAACATGCATATGTTGGGCAACTTTGCTCCTCTACTGAGGGCTCTC